CTTTAAAAAAGTGACAACAGGTCCTCACATATACAGGTGTCAGAGCATCTCCACAGTCACCTGATCAAAAGCTGCGTAGCAACCCACTTGTATCCCCAACAGTTGCAGCATCCTGGGATCATGTGATCACCATTTGTGACTTTCCCAGTTGATTTCTGACAAGAGAAATCTAATGGGGTGACTTAACCTCCGCCTGAGTGATTTGCTTAACAATTGGACACAACTACTCTTAAGAACCACCTTGCTTAGCAATTAAAATTATGGTAGTAAGTTAAGGACTGCTGTGTAAAATTCAGATAGCCTGCCTCCAAGAAAAATTAAACCAGAACATCTGGGTTTATATGGGTTTAGTATTTAAATATGTATAAGAATGGTTTGGCTGGGTTATAATGAAATAGATTGCTATCTGCTGAAAAGAGGTGTGGAATAAAGCCTCCCACACATATATCCGTAGATTGTTCTGGCTAGTGATGTATATATTCATACTGTATATATTAAAAAAGGAATAGCCTTGAAGTTTTGAATGTGAAGGTCTAAGAATTAGATTGCAGTTCTAAACAGCCTTTGACTGGGAATAAGTTCCCCTGAATGAAGTGAGACTTCTGAGTAAACACAAATAAGATTAAGCTGCAACTATATATACTGTGCAAATTTTTAAAACTTGAATGAGACTTCATTTTCTTCAAAGAACTCAAATACAGAATTATCAACATTTTAGTATTTGGGAAATAATGGTGCAAATATTTACTAAATACATATGGACTGACTTTATTGATTACTTTTGTCTTCTGCTTTAAAAAGAAAATACAACACATTCAAGATAGGAGCCTTACAAATCTGTACTGTTTTTATTAGTTTAATTGCTGAAGAAATTAGTTCACATATGATGCTATAGATCAAAAGCAAATAAATCACTGTATGGCTTAGGGCATCATGTGAATCAGATCTCAAATCTTTTAAAACTTTAAATCTCTTTTAAATTCCAGTCAGCATAGCCAGTGATTACGTGGGTTGTAATCCAAAATATCTGGGAAGCACCAGATTTCATCAATGATCCATTATGCAATATTCAAACAGTACTGGAACTGTTTATTTCTACTACAGAACAAACAAAATGTTGGCATGCTTGTTTAACCAAGCAATAACTCAACGTTAAGGACATTGTTCCTAAATTCCAGTGGATTTAGAACACAGTTTTCACTTGGATCTAACAATCATATCAGTGAAAACATTTTCTTTTGCTAACAATGGTGTGAACTGGCTGCTATCTAGGTAGAAGCAGCTGTTTCACTGGCCTTGCTGGGTCATTTAATATTTAAGCCATATTGAGATATGCCTACTGCTTTCTTCCAGGAAATACTGCATTTCTATTAAGCTACTGTTGAGACAGAAAATACGTTACTGGGTTTAGAAGCCTCAAGCAACCATTTTCCAAGTCCCCAAACTCCTGAATTTTTAAAAAGGAAAAGCTTTTTGCACATACATTGAGGAACGACTTCAACTATTTTACCAGTCAGCCCAATAACCCCTTATTCAGACTAAGTTTTATAATTACTATTACCATCAGAGCTATTTGGAAATCAATTGTACCAGAACTCAAAAGCACTACTACTGCCAAGGAATCATAGTTATTTCAAACCCTCTAGAGCTTATTATGCAATCGTGCAGAAGCTGCTGGTAAAAGCTGTTCTGAATCATTCCATCTAGGCTGTCAGAATTGTTAGGATATTTCCTCCATAGTCAGGAAAGCTAAAATTTGCTGCAAGATTTCATTTCTAAGGGGGGGAGGGGGAAAGCAAAGGGAGAGAGGCAAAAGTAGTGGAATTCATATCCTACCATAGGCCAAAGTGCCATAGTGTTTCTACAAATTCAGCCAACTGTGGGTTATTTGTTAAACCATGGTTAAGACTGGATGTGCACATTAATTCACTGGGAACCTTGCATAGCCATTAGATTAGATTAGATTCAAGTTTATTGTCATTGCACATGAACACAGGCAACGAAATGCAGTTAGCATCTAACCAGAAGTTCAAAACAGCAATAAAATTTAATATGTATAGACAAATATACAGAATATATAACTATATATGGATATGCAGAATATCTATGAATATACAGAATATATATCTATGAAAAAAAATGACTGTACAGAGTGTTTATTGGCCATGGGAATTTCATTCAGATTCTGAAGAAGCTTCTTGGATGAGAAGTGAAATGTTTTAATGGAAACAAAGAAAGTCCAGTTGTCTTTTGGAAAAGCACCTTCGAGACAACCATGACCTAGATGGCTGAGAATCTCCATAGTTATTCAGATTCTGAAGAAACTTATAACACTGACACAAAAGCACAAAAAAGCACCCAAAAATGAAATTAAAAAATAGTAAGTTTTACTGTAGTAGTTCTAGTAAGTCTCCCTGGAGCTGGTTTTTAGTGAAATAATTATCATTGTAGTCCAATCCCAAAGATAAAAACGGTTTCCATGTGTCAGCAATAAATGAGACGGTCACCACTGGTTTAACTCTGGAAGCAAGTATGCTTTGAACCCAGTTTCCAGTACATAGTCCAGTTTTTAGCCCTTTACATTTCTATTTTGTGAACACAAATGAACTGTAGATGCTTCACTTGTATAAAAGGAACAAAATGGTGCTTTTTCTAGTTTTCTCTCAGGGTTGTAGGCTAAGCAAAAGTGTTAATCCTAATTAGGTCTGATTTGAACTCTCACATAGTTCTAAGCTACAACATTTTGTTTTTTGCTTAGTGTATTGTATTTTGCTGTGGTTCATGCATCCTAAATTTATGACTTAGTATGATGCACCAGCCTAACCAATTATGGTGTACAATCCCAATTAATTCTAGATAATTGATTAAACAGTCTTAAGCAAACTATGGCTTAGTACAATATATGAATCAGGTGTTTGTTATCCATATAAGTAAGGCAGGAACCATTGACATTGGCTGGGTACAATGTTTGTATTTGGAGGTAACTATCATTTTTGAAAATGCCACCTCAGATAAAGGATATGATAGCAATTTAATACAGAGGTTACCACAGTCTGGATGACTGTGTGTCTATCACTATCCAGAACAGTTGCAACTGAAGCATCAGATTTAATTGTTGAATGAATATGCTAGTGAAATCTTAAAGGAGAAAGAAACACAACATTGTTACTGCAGATTAGCCATTTTAAGCTATTTCAAATAAAGCTGCCTTTTGCAATTGACTGATGGTGATTTGGTCAACGTCCATATTGTTCAAGTGGTACTGCAGATATTTTGGAATTGCATCCATGGTGCTATTATTTTATCTAGTCTTTATGTTTATATCTATCTATCTATCTATCTATCTATCTATCTATCTATCTATCTATCTATCTAT